ACGTGTAGCACGGAGCACGTTTATTCAGTACGTATACTGCGGATAAAGTGTACACGTGGGGGGCTTAATCATGATTAGCTTGGCTGATTAGGTTAAACAAGCAGAGGTTGATGATTGGTCACTGTTTGTACGGTCGCTGCACACAGAGTTGCACGGCCGCACCTCCCAATCCTGGTATGCAGGCGTACGATGACGCACAAAGCGATAACGTGTCCCACATGACTTCGTTAGCTAATTACATTTTTTTGTTTTCCCATCACATTTGACGCGCTAAGATTTTATTTAACAAATTCATTACTTGGTCAATGAATAAAGTTTATTTAATTAATTCAGCTTGTTAAGAAAGTCCAAACAGTAAGAGCTTTGTAATATTATTTTATATCTGTAAATATGCCTTATTTAAAAAATATGCATTTAATATTTTAGCAGAGAAAATTATCTCGAAATTTTCCCAATAGCTTGAAACCTAATGTATCTATGAATCGAAAATCGATCGATAGATAAATGGCCTTATTTACACACATATAATGCAAAAGGGTTTGAGCGACTAATTTTTTCCAACAAATACATCAAGTCACTTTAATGTCAAGTTATTAGCTTTAAACTTCGTCTGAGTATTAATGGTTAAAATTATTGTGATAACTCGCAAGATATTATGAAAATTATTATTATGAAAATAAATCCTAATGCCTAATAGGGCTTAAAAGAGTATTGGCATATTTAACTGCAAGTTGTATCTATATCCGTGTTGGATTTCATAGCACAGGATCTATTTAAACGTCATTATAAGAGACCAAATGTGATCGGAATTCCAATTACTTCATATTCACTTAAACATTGGAGAGACCATATAGTAGGTTTGGTATGTAGTTTGTAAGTCATTTTAACATCTCCTGTTTAAGATGATTTCCATCTATTAGGACTTGTAATATTTTCAGCTCATTCTGAGTATTTATAAATTCGTTGATGATGCACTGTTTAAATCCAATGTTACCTAATGAATATCTTGCGGTCTAAAACAGAAGCAACACAAATAATCTCTGACTAAGCCTTGTTAAGCTCCTATAGCATAATCCAATGATACAAATTACTTATGAAATTAGCTATGCCACCTCTTTGGGTGTAAGAAGGGAATCCCGTATGGTAACTGCCACAAAGCTTAGTCATCAGAACAAAATTAGGACTACGCTACGTAGTAGCGACTAGTGTTAACTGGTTGGCTTTCTTCTACACTGTTTGAAATCATGGAATTCCTTTGATCAGTACCCCCAAAGACCTACAACAGCGGCAATTCACAGAAAAGGAGACATCTTGAATACTTTGGAGACCTTTTTGGAAGGTATTCTGAAAAGGGAAATGTTTTTTATGCAGTGAAATTGGGAGGTGAGTCGCCAATAGGCATTTCCACTGACACCAATACTGTCTAATCAATTTGCGGAAGATTCTCATGAGCACGGTTTCGACCCTGGAATTATCCACTGAAACATCACTTTAAATGTGCATTTGCTACTAATTAAAATTAACTTATAATATCAACCAACGAAATCGTTTATGACTATTTGATTTAAAGAAAAGTCCGCTCGAAGTCACACTTATTAATTCAAACGGTCTTGTCACTTGAACTACTTTTGAAATAGTCATATGTTAATTTTAGACTAAGGAGAGATTCAATCCAAACAGAGCCACAGCTTTGATATCCCAATCGCCTATTCGATTTCCACTTGGCTACGAGTAACAAGTATAAAGATGAAATAGCAGGTGATTGTGCTCTTGATGACTTCTGTATCCCGGCTAGCTTCATATTTTCACCCTCTAAAACAAAATATTCAAGCATTCTTTCACCACTCTTTTAACCTACTTCGATTTGCATTGCCTCTTAATGCCCAGCCATTAGTTTTACCACTTCACCCCAGTACTCGCCTGGAAAAAGAGACATTACGGATTCCAGGCCTATCTGTACCCACCCAGGGTGTGACAAGGCCTACCACACCGGTTCAGCCTCACACAAATTAATGGTGTATCAGAAGTCGTATTTCTTTTCACGGGAGTTTACTGAAGCTCTATCTCCACTCTGGACATGTAAAGGCAAGTGGTCAATTGGTCGTATGCGCAATTTCAGTGACGTTGGCAGACAACGGAACCGATTAATAGTTATTCACAAGAAGGATGGCAGAATATGGGTGATTTTCACTAGAATTGCTTCAAAACGTGCCTTAATCCTCTCCTCAAGCAATTTTTCCTCCCACAGTTACTTTAATTATTTTTTGGGATGTTTCGAACAGGTTTGGCTATATCCAGCACGTCCAAATAGGTACTTAGCCCAGTGCGTACGTCGCGCGTAAATGCGTGCGTACGTGTCGGTGCGTGCCTGTTCCACATATGGCCTCCAAATCTTATTGGCTAATCATAAAACACTGTCACTGTAAAATTCCACCGAAGCGCTAAAAACGAGGCGTGTTCGCTATACGCACAGTGGAGATCGAGGCACAATCCAAGAGAGTAAGTATCAACAACTTTTTGCCGTGTATCTGCATCCATGAACCGGTTGTTAGATTTTTTACTGGATGGAGTGAAGGTTCACATATCGTCGTAACCAATCTTTACTACGCATTGCCGTTAAATTTTATGTCACTTAAATCTACCGACTACTACCTAATTCCTATAATTTTTTTTCTGATCATAAATTGCCTATTTGCTAAACTGTGCACTTATGAATGAATTCTAGAAGTCCAATTGTCCAATTTTTGCAAGCATTATTCTGATTTTTGTGGCTCTTTCGAAAACACGTTTTTTGTACCGTAATTTAAGAGAAATCAATAATTTTAATCAATTTTATTGTTGTCTTACCCGTAGCTTTCCTTTGATCTTATTTCTTATTTTGACAATGAGTGGCCCACGGGCCTTTTCCTCCCTGTTTTAAAAAAATTACTCTTTTTTACTTAAAAGTTTGGGGTGGGGTGGGGGGGTGGTTCATTTTCTCCCTTATTCAGTTGGGGAATTTCTTTTTTTTGCACCTGAAATGAGTTTCTCTTGTCTAATTTTCAGTTTTTGTTCTACTTTCTCCCTCTCGATCCGCATTGCGTTGCCTCATCTTGGATGCATGCTTAATTTGATCACGCTTTTAATCGTATTTCACTACTAACTTATTATAGTCCCACGTCATGGCTGTCAAGACTTGTGGTGAATGTGCATATGGCCTATGCGTGTGTTAGTCGAAAAGCTTTGCCACTTTCTCATCGACCCGTAACCTCAGACATCGCCAAATGTAAATATACCAAATTAGGGGGTGGTGGGGAGGGGGTGGGTTCGTTGAAGGCTCTGGATTTGATTTATGTCAAAATTGCCCCCACATTCTACTTAACTTCCACCATCATAAATTCTTTTTCACTCTCTCACAATTTCACATTATCCGGATAAAAAATTAAAACCTTGGGTCCACTCAATTTCTTCTAATCCGCACCTCCTCCACTTTCGGTTTGAATTGAACTTTTGAAGTATAAAAGTTTAAAAAATTGGATCATTCTATTCCCCCACAATTTGATGCAGAAGGCAAACACGTTCTCTCAGAGAAAGAATCCAATCCTTAAAAATTGGTTCAATATCTACATGTTTTGTTGGCGTTTATTATTAAATGATTGGTACAATTTTTTATCGAATTCAGTACCATTTTTACTCGTGCTAAGGCAGGAATCGTAAGTTTTTCAGTTGCTTGTCCCCTAAACTGTTCCAACTGGCAAAACGCTTGAAAGTGACCTCAGGGTAACAGCAGGGTCAAACTTTGTTTAACCTTCCGATTCGGGTTACTTTAGGAGTAGAGCTCACTGCTTTTTTGGAAGTTAAATTAACCAACATTGGCCACACACTGGTTTCACAACTTTTATCCATATTGTAACCAAGCCATCAACATAATTTTCACATTCCAAACATTTACAATCATGCCGTAACAAATTACACCCTGATCAGTCCAAAACTTGGGAATCTTTTAACCATGCATTGACATCAAATATTCATTTTTGAATCGTGATTCGATTTTTTTAATTTGCTCTACCTTTTTTTGCTGAAATGGATAAGGTTGCGATATTGATATTGTGGAGACTCATTCAAGTTTGCACTGGACAAGGACCACAGGAATTCAACTAGGAGTCGTGGATATATAGGTCATGAGATTTGAAATTTGGAACATTTAGCATCAATCCTCGATCCAGTTAGCTTTAACTCGCTCAGCTACTTGCCCATAAAGAATTATAAGCAAATCGGAGCTGGTCGATAACGATACACAATGCACAATCTTAGATACCATCATTCCAAGATGGCTTTTAATCGGTAATCAGGTCGATTAACTGGGGACCCAATTTCAGTGCGTGAACTTGTCCAATTTCTCGTTCAGTGTCCTTAATTTTACAGTTGCGTGAATTGTGGAAAAAAAGTTTATATAGCTCTTGCCGTTAAGCGAATAGCAATCCGTTTTTAAGTTCCCTTAAATTTGGGCCTCTTAAAAAGACCCATATTCGTTCTATCTTTGCCCCCTTTTTGGCAATGTGCCGTTGAACCTCGTGTCTATGAGCTTTGAAGAGTGCTGTTTATTTCTATCTATCTAAGATTGTAGAATGAGCCCATAATGAATTTGTAAATGACCGCCGATACATCCTGTTTATATCTGCCTTGATAATGCCTCCTCTTCAGTTTATGTTGGTGGAAACTTGTTTATTGTGAAAAGTCACCCTTAAACTATAAAGACCCCACCTTCTAACACTGCCCTTTTTTCTCAAAGCTACGAAACCACAATGGCAAGCATAGAAGAGATCATTGATAGGAATATCAGCGATGAAACCGCCAGAAGTGAAGTTCAGAGAATTCTCTACGGTGGATGGTTGAAGTGAGTTCGGTGATTTTGTTCTAAAAGCTTCGCAGTAAACTAGAGCTGCCCTTCCAAACCTGTCAAGCGGGTGGGAGCACAGCAAAAGTAGCCGGATATGCATTTAAAAAAGCTGATGAACAACTTCGAGCCCCAAGAATTGTCAGAATTGGAGCTATTCAACACAAAATTGCTCTTCCACCTACATCTCCAGTAAGTGATCAAATTGCTGCCGCGCATAAGAAGATTGGAGATATGATCGATGCCGCAGGAGCTTGTGGTGTTAATGTCCTCTGTATGCAAGAAGCTTGGAGTAAAGCGCATTTTATTGATTTTTTACTCAATATTTAGCTATGCCATTCGCGTTCTGCAGTCGAGAACGCGTACCATGGTGCGAGTTCGCGGAATCGGCTGAGAATGGTCCAACGACCAAATTCCTCTCTCAATATGCTAAAAAGTATGCCATGGTGATCATTTCGCCCATCTTGGAAAGGGATCTTGAATTTGGCGAGGTCCTTTGGAATACTGCTGGTAAGCGAAGTCGTGACTTTGAATTCGTTTTCTCCAGTTGTGATTGATCAGAATGGGAAATTCTTGGGAAAATCAAGAAAGAACCACATTCCACGTGTTGGAGACTTCAATGAGGTGGGTCAATAAAATTTGAGCAAAATTATTTAATGTTTATTTTATTTTAGTCCACTTATTATATGGAAAGCAATCTTGGTCACCCTGTGTTCGATACCATCTACGGTAGGCAAAAAGTGCCCATTTTTTAATTAACTTCTAAATATGCGATTTAAACAACCATTTTAATTCTTTCTTTATTATCTACTTAAAAGCGTGTTTATCCTTTTCAAAATTGTTGCTCAAATGTCATCTTCCGAAAGCATTTGTAGAGCTATGTTATTTTTTTCATATAGAACGATGAGAGTTTCAGTAAATTTTATTTTTAATTGCCCCGTTTCGATATAGTTTTAGCAAACACACAGCATGATGAGCTGTTTCAAAAATTCGATGAAATTTCCTTGGCTTTTAGGTAAAATTGCAATTAACATTTGCTACGGGCGCCATCATCCACAAAATTGGATGATGTATGGACTCAACGGCGCCGAAATTGTCTTCAACCCCAGCGCCACCATTGATGGTCTGAGGTACGTGCGTTTTTTTGTTCCTACCCACCTCCCCTCCAGCTCTCATTTTAATAAGTACTCGTAGAATGCTTGTGGCTACTTAAAGAAAGTCGAGTGTATAGTCATTTAATCGATGGTAAATGACCTCATGACGTATTGAATATTCCTATCATTTATTTATTTATTTATATCAAATGGCAGGCGTTTTGTTGGCTATCATTAGCCCTTTAGTTGACTGCAGGCTCCACAGAGGGGAAGGAACATCAAATTGAAAAAAGTCGAGAGGGGGGGGGGCAGAAGAGTGTTTCAAAGATGCAAAAGAGACAGACACAAAGGTAGTAAAAAGGTGAGGTGAGTACTGTGAAATGATCGAATATGACATGGAGTCAGCTCATGGAGGTTTGAAGTGAGAAGTCAACTGCCGGTTAATAGACCTTTTAGCCGTATGAGTATACGTTGCCCAGGGTGCACCACGTGGAGGCAGGTCTATCGCACACCCCATATTCCTATCATACCCTGGTTGAACCATTGAGGATTCAGATATCAGATATCACAGATATAAGTGTCTAAATCTGTGTTGCTGCTGACATTTTTAGTAAAAATTTAAACTTTTCTGACAGCACACACTTCTACTAAGTTCCTCTAAACGACGACATTTCCTTTCATTTGAAAATTCACTGAAATATGAGGAATAACATAATTTAATAAATTACACTATTGATTGACGGCCTATGCTTTTGTCCTGTTGAGTGAGAAAGAACAGAAAGAATGTCATTCCTTCCCCCCCCC